TCTTTTCTTTTCTTTTTTTTCTTGAAGTGTCCCATAATGAGCAACAACAATGACAGTAAAAAGACAACGATAAAAACGCCAAAAGCACTTCATGTCATGTAGCGGGTGATCGCTCTCAGAGCGTATAACAGTTCTGCCTGCATTCGCGCTTCCATAAGAAGCAGATTAACGTGGACCTGCAGGAGAAAAGAGAGACAAGAGACACTTATTAAACACTGTACATTGATTCAAATAGCTGTAATGGAACAGGCCAGGAGAGGAGATCGGGATCTTACCTTCTCGGAGTGCTGAAACTGCCTCCAGAAACTCTCATACATTCGTTTGGTGGTCTTCTCAGGGCTACACACCATGGTCTTAATATAGATCTTAAAGCTACGGTCCAGAAGCTCATTTATCTCCCCGTAATCGTAGTCATCATACCTGAAGGAAGACAGAGACACAGTGTTAGGACACAGTTCTGACCGAGCATAATGACACACATAAAAAGGTGAAAAAAATCGTACAGGAAGGCGTTCCCAGCGGCTCACCTGATGCCGAACATGCAGTGGATGTAGTTCCAGATGGCCCTGCGCAGCATACTGGTGTCCACGTCCTTGTGTGTTGCCATGGTGTTGTAGGTCAGATTGTAGGCCATCTGGAACTTCTCGTCCAGCATCTGACCAACATCAGGGTACAGTCTGTTGACCAGAGAGAAACCGTGATCCTCCCAGCTGTAGTCCTACAGAAAAAGAGGAAATAAGAAGTAAATAACATATAGACCACCTCTTTAGCATCCTGTACTCTACATTCAGCCTGTGTTTGATCTCTACCTGCACTCTGAACGTGGGCACATGCTCCCCCCTCCTGGAGAAGTCCTTGTAGCCGTAGCTCGGGTCCTCAAAGTGTCGGGAGATGTCTCTGGAGGGGACGCACTCCTCGTCCTCTGTTGTGACCACCAGCATGCTCTCCGTCTTCTCCCTCTCAAAGCGAGTCGCCATCTCCTCCTGGCTAGCCTCCTCGTCGTCGCGGCACTCCTGCAGCTGCTTCATGCGCTCCATCAGCACCTCCACCTCGCCACACATCTCCTATGGAAACAAAGAGCACACCTACAGTTAGGAAGGACCCGTACACGAAGCACAAATCCCCGATTTAGTGGGGAAGCACCAACACACAGGATAAAGTGCAGGGAACGTATCTGCTGCCTGGATTTTAGCTCACTGTGCACACCCACACACACACACACACACACACACACACATCGTCCTTTACCACTCACCTGGTTGCCGAGCAGATCATCATGGTGATAAGCATGACCGTTGCCATTGGCAATGTCACAGACGCAGTACTGGCTGAGAGAGGGGGGTCTGAAAGTGTGTCCGCCGTCACAGTGGATCTCGGGTGTGATGCCGCAGCCGAAGGTGAACGAGGCGAGGGAGTGGTAGTGTGTGAGGAGGACCACGGCGTGGATGAGCTCTGCGAGGGACCAGCTGTGTTCCTCTGCCTTCAGAAGACGCTGGAAAAAAAAAAAACAACAACTTGTGAGTCCTTGTAGCTGGAGCCAAATAATGACCTCAATATCACTGACCTTTCAGGAAGTGGGAAAATATGTTTTCAGCCTTCCTAACCAATTTATTGTCTTTTTCCAGCCTCACCCACCTCCCTCTATCCGTCCCCCACTTTCTGTCACTATATTTCTACTGCTATAACTCCCAAATCCACCCAGCTATACTCTAGCCTCCACCCAGAGTCTCAGCCAGTTACATAACACTCCTCATGTCCACATTCACCCTCCAGACCATGCCCGTCCTCTTACCTCGATGTGTTCCTTGGTGAGAAGCCAAGGTCGGTGGGCCAGGATTTTGTTGAGCTCTCCGAGCTGCTGCAGCTTCTGTGGGGCTTCGTCCAGGCCGTTCAACCACTTGGGATTGCCCCCGACCTGGAGGAAGTAGTTGACGTGCAGGTTGACTAAGTAGGAACACTGGTGTCTAGCTGCAGCCTGCAGGACCGGAGGAGAAGGAGGTATTAACCACAAGTTATGTTAAGTGCTCGGCGTACAACGGTCAAATGAGAGGCGCTTTTAAGAATTCAGATGATGGACATGAACGCACCATGATGCCGATGTAGTGTCGGTAGTGCAAAGACAGGGGTCCATCCATTTGCAGCAGGTAGTGCTGCGTCCGGAGGAAGCTCTCCAGGTACTGCGGGTGGAAGCTCATCACCAAAGAAATGTTGTCGAGGCGACCGAGGGCTGCAAACGCATCCTCAAATATCGACTGTGTCCGGGGGTCCACTTTACTGACTTTGAGAATCTTAACAGAGAAAAAAAAAAAGGAGGTTTATTACATAAATGTAATGTTTGTAACTGAGTTAAAAGTCTCTGGAGAGATTATGGATCGTCTCCTACCTCTTTTTCAGGGATAAATCTGCTTGGTCCGTTGACTAAGGGTCTTGGGATCCTTACTCCCAAGTCCTGCAAGACAAAAAAAAAGAGAAATACATGTAGTTTAGATATCACAGGAAAGCAGAGGAGAAGCTCAACTGTCGCTTTATTGCTTCATCAGTATGAGAAATCAGAGTCTGACACCAGTAAACCTGTCAGATCCTTGTTCATCTACAGAGGAAACTACAATAAAACCAAATGTTAAGGTTTTCTCCATTGTAGAAGCAACTCTCTCTCTCTCTTCTTTCTCTCTCTCTCTCTCTCTCTCCGTGCAGTGTCACAAGAAACTGACACATAAAACCAAAATTAAACATGACACTAAATGAATGAGCAACTTTCGCCCTCGTACAACTTAAAAATAAATATAAGAACACAACAGAAACCTTCACATCGCCTCTATCGCGTCCTGTAACTTTCCGCTGCTTGTCGAGACAGGTCTACCAGCGGACACCGTCCCGCAGCGCACAATGAAGCAGGATGAATGAATGACCACGAAACGCGTAGAATTCAGAAATGACACCGGGTAAAAAACAAACCTCTGATTCCATTAAAGTCAAACCGACTAAAAGAATAGAAGAGTATTTTATTGCCCGAGTGAGCAAAAAAAAAAAACTCGTAAACAAGCCCTGCACAAAAGACTGCAGCTTGTTTTTCCAAAGCAAACAAATAAGAAGAATAAAAAGGTCGCATAAAAACATAAAAAACGAGACAGTTCTTTAAATCCCGACGTCAGGTTGAAGCTTTAAAAAAAAAGGTGCATTATGAAAGAGTGTTATTTACCCCTGAAGCCCCCTTTCCTCTCTCTCTCTCTCCCTCTTTCTTACCTTTTTGCTTAGCCGTTCACAATGGGTACATATCTTTAACAGCCTTGTCACTGCAAAAGAATTATTTTCCACTGTTTCTGCCGGTGCGACTGCGTGCCTCATCTCGTGTCCTCGCTGCACTTTGATTATTTTACTGGTATAAAAAAAATAAAATGTTCTTTCAAAAAGATGTTTTTCTAATTTCTGAATGGCTGTTTTCCTCCTCTCTTTGTTCCTTGAGGCACTGGGTAAAGTGCTCGGCAGTCAGCTGTTGCAGCCCCACAGCAGAATACCGTCCTCTCTCGCTCATACATTCGGTAAATAAGTCGGGGCTCGTGTGATTGACGCGCTCGGTGGCCAATAGGACGACGAAAACAGCCTCTCTGCAGCCAATGGGGAGCGAGAGGAGCACGGAGGGGAGGGGCGGAGCTAAGCGTGAGGAGAGGAGAGGAGAGGAGAGGAGGGAGGGGAGAGGGGAGAGAGGGGGGGGGTCCTAAACGTGAGCAGAGAGAACAATCTCCCTCCCCACCACCACCCCCCTCTCTAAGAAAACATCATCACTTCTCTCTTCTTCTTTTGTTCCCTGCTGCCATTGATCATGATTGCATTTACAGTTGTGCATTACGCTCTGTATGCTAAATAATACGGCAACAGCAATTCATTCAAGGTGACTGCTGCTCGGATCAATACTTTAAAATCCACCATCACGGTGTGGAGAGAGACCACCACTAAAAATAGTTTCCTGTAATCTAAAATCCAAATCTAGCTGGGTGCAAAATGAATTTTAAAAAAAAAGAAGAAGGCAACTGTGTGTTCATCTGTGTAATGTGCATTCAACGAAAACAACACCAACTCAAAGCCAGCTCCAGCATGCAGCAGCAAGTTCCCCCCCCTCCAGTGCTGCGAGAAGCCAATGGGGGGGGGGGGTAAACTGAGCCCTCAGCTGTCCTTGGTGAGCTGCAGAAGGAGGTGGAGGTCCGCTGTGCAGAGATCAGCGCACGGCGAGATGGATAGCTGCGGGACCTGCTGCAACAACAACAGCCCTTCAGTTAGTGGTTTTTTTGCGTCACAGCCTATCAGACCGCAGATAATGCCATTCCTCCACCAATCAGCCCGGGCTGAAGGAGTCCTTTAAAAGGCAGAAGGAAGCAGAGATAAGGAAGGCCATTCTTATGGCTTTGTTTATCCCAGCTTGACAATAACACTGTTCAGTTGAACAGTGTATAACTGGTTTATCGCACCGGGGTGGTATGAAAGTCAATAATTTCTCAGAACTATATCAGACGAGAGGTACTGAAAACAACACTGTGTTCTGCAAGTTCTATATCGCAGTACAACATCTACATTATTTCACTCAAACAAGTCTGTCGTTGTGGAAATGATCAGTACCAGAAGTATATTTGTCTTTGAAATGTATGGTAAACAACAGATAAACTGTTGTATTTTCATGTAAAGGCACATGTGAGTCAACTGTTGTTTGTGTTGTTTCCTCTGTGAATTGCCAGCAACCACGTTACAAAAGCATCCACATATCGGCCAGTGTGTCCACAGACCCACACACACACGTGCACATCTGTGCGTCATGTTTCTGTGCGAGACTTAAAAATAACATGTTTCTCAAGCAAAACAGAAAAGCCTTTTCTGTTCTGAGATTTCACAAAGACTCATTTTATGGGAAGAAAACTACACAATAGTTTCGACTGTTTGAAAAAGTCGAAAAAAATTTTGCGAGGCACTACCTGTTTCAGTTCATCGTTACCGCGGCTCCTCTGGCTATGACAGTGTTTTGGGTGACTTGTGAAAGAGACACCAAATAAAAAGCAGACAAGCAAGTTAAAGTTGGTAGCGATGAGAAGTTGTTACGAGTACAGTGTGAGTTACAAGTATAAGTCAAGAAAAGGCAAGTCTGCCCCTGTGCACTCCAATCAAGAGCCTGCCCGGCCAGTTTGGCAACCGACTGCAAGTCTCCAGCACTGATAGCACAGTATTCAGCAGGTTCATTGTGTGGATAGGGCCAACTAACCCCCTCACCTCCCCTCCCTGGTCCCTCTCCTGATGCCACAGGGTGGGGTGCGGGGCAGCGGTAAACATGTTCCCAGGGCTGGAGTCAGCACTCCCAGGGCTGCTGGGAGCCCCATGGCTCAGCAAAGCTGCAGAAGAGGCTGGTCAGCGTTAGGGCTTACGACACACCAAACCTTTTCACATAAAAGCGCTTAGGCTCGGGGGTCCGGCCTCGCGGACAGGGCCAAATACTATTGTCAGAGTGCACGCACTGACTACTCGGTGAGGCTTTACTGTACTCACATCAGGAGTATCTGAGTGCAGTGATCCAGCCATATGTGCTACGTCTTAGATCTTAGATTACGTCTCCATTTCCACGCCTTTGGTGCAAATGTTTGTAAGCTGGAACTCAGAGCTGAATTATGCAAAAGCAAAAACCTGAGCTCGTAAACAAGTTACATGGAATCAGCTTCTGTTATCAACACACATGAAATTATATATGCTCCGAGAAGCTTCAGAAAGCTCTAGAAAAGTTAGTAAGTGGACACTGAGTTAAGGTTTGTATAAATCCAATTCCACCTGAACGTGTCTGCACATTGGGACTTCACTTTATGTCTCTCAAGTTATCACAGTTCAAGAAAACATGACAGAATATTTGACTCCAGACTTTAATATACGAAACCTGGCTCGTATTACAACATGCGTATTCTGGGGTGTCTTTTGAAGCTGGTTTAGAACAGAGTGTGACATATAAACAACCACACTGCAAGTGTGTCTCGGGGGGAGTCTGCAGACCTACATCTTTAGTTGTCTCAGCTCTTTGATGTCAACTACAGTGAGTCTGAATGCTGTTGTTCCTAAATGACTAATCGCTGACAAACTAAATAAGGAAACTACCTGAAGATGAAGTGAAACACGCTGAACATCGTTGTTATGATTATGCTTCAATGAATGAGAACGTAGACTCTTTGTTACAAGACGACACTGCAGCAGAGAGGTTTATTAGCTGTTCCAGGGAATAAATCAGTGACCTTTTAGCTACGTGAGGGCCACTAAGCCACCGTGCAACACTGTGGAGATGTATATATGCGTGTGTATTTGATGGGGGTTTTGAGTACAGGGGTTAGGACAACATTGGGAAGATTAGTTATGACGGAGGAAAGGCTCCTGGAAACAACAGGAATCATCTCAGATTTGTTTTAACAGTGTGTGTATCATCAGATAGTGATCTGCTGGAGGAAAGGCCTGAACAATGGACACATTTCCACTAGTCTTGCACTAATGGTAATAAAAATATTCCCATTAAGAATAATAGCCAGGAATATTGTTCAGATGAAACATTTTTTACAGAAACGCTTTCATGGCCACTATAAGAAGCTGTTTTCTGCTCATTAATGGCTACTTACAGATCGTTTTTCAACTCAAGCTTCTTTAAAGTGTAAATGTGTAACTTTTGAAAGAAGAAATAACACGATATTCCTTTATACAAATTAAAAGTTTAACAAATAGGAAACAAAACCTCACTAGCTCAATTCAACACACTTTGGGGCTTTGGTGCTGTAGCCACATGGTCAGATATGACCAGTAACTTATGATGGCTATGATGTTAGCTTGTGCTACTCTAACACTACATTTTAGCATTTACCATTATCCCATAATTGCCTCTTGTGGCCACAGAGGCCATTGTTCGGAAAAGGTTACACAGGCCCTTATGCACATTTCATAGAGGAGGAGGCAGATGCTAACAGTTTAAAAGCAGTTTATTCGACCATCATTCAGTGAAAAATTACTAATTGGAACAAAACTAGCACACTGATAGAGAGCAGAGGCATGTATTGTGGTTTAAAAAGTTTCTATGGACATTCTTTTTCCATGGGGAAAACTTATTGGAATTTTGGAATCCATTTTGTCCACTGACCTCTGGCTCTGTGCTCCAGGAATGAGCAAACTACAAACTTTTAAAAGCCTTGAAAATCTACAAAGTGTGAGCATTTCATACTCAAAACATAGTATCGCTCAACAAAGCGTGACGTATATTCCACAAAGTGAACCCACAGTATGTGTAGCAAGTTCAACAAATGACGGTGCAACTGAGGAATTTAAGGCACCAGTAAACAGATATTGTACATGCAACAGTTTGCATTTTCTTAGAACATTTTATAACCGAGTTATGAGGACAGATACTATATTACTGTGTGAGACAAAGTGCATACTAAATCTGGAACA